GGCATGCTCTGAACCCCTGCTCCCAACAGACTCCTTCTCAGAAAGCCCATAAACCCTGCCCTGCCCTTCCTGTATCAGACACAATCTCAAAGATGACCAGACAGGCCAGAGTATGTTCGAGGAAAAGCAAGTGAATAATGAAAGTGGATACGTGGTTCTAATAAATCTCTCTAATAGATCCGCTGCTGTGCCTGCATCATCACACATCAGTCAGTGTAAACGTAGAGACCTCCTCGAGTACCCGCTCCCACATCCACACATGTGAATGTGCTTTCTGTGTACAGAAAGGATCATTTTCCTCGTTATTTATTTGAAGCTTCACGTTTTTCATGCCTGCCTGTTGTGATAAATGTAAAAGAAATAATGCAAATACGGGACGATGCGTTTCCAACTCGATAAACTCGGCGACAAAGTACCCCTGAACTCTTGCCCACAGCTCCCACAGAGATTTAGTTTAGTGTTCGCTACTGCATCGTATTCCCCACTGACCATTCCACTCTAGCGTAGTCATTGCTTGTTGTTTCCACCCAGTCTGTTTTGAGGTGAGCGCGTGGAAAGAGATTGGGTCCAGGACGGCACATCACATAGCTTGTTCTCCTTCTCAGTTTCGGGCCTTCTTCCTTTGGGGGACATGCAGAGATGTGTAAGTGCACTTAGACATTTTCAGAATGTTTGTTCTTTGGTCACAGGTTGCCATTATTGTTCGTTTGATTTCCTTGTCTGCCTGTGTTGAGGATTCTAAATAAAATCAGTGTTTATATATCAGTGCATACCGTACCCACGCTGTGGAGGATGTACACATGTAGACTGAGTCTCAGATGCTCTCCTTGTGCCAACCTGTACAGCGGACAGGTAGAAGCCCAGCACGTACTCGGTGTCGTCTGCTTTGGGTTCAGTCTCGTAGAAACGGCTCACGCTGCATAGCCCCCCCTCCCGTCTGCAGACCTGATAAAGCTTTGTCTGTTGCTGTGGTTACACCTGGAACCTAACGAGACCATCTTAGTTCACGGTGACGTGAGTAGTTTCCTTTGCCGTTGGAGTGTAAAGCTGGACTTTGATCTGGTCATCTCCCGCTGATGAAACATCTCCCTAATATGTCTTCTCGTTTGCATCCAGGAGCCGTGAGGCGAGCTCTCCTCAGTTTGTGTCTCTGAGGGTGAAAGAGGCCGTGCTCGCCGTGCTCGCCGTGCGCCTGCTGCCGCTTTGTTTTGTAAGCTTGGCCTGACTTGCTGTGGACCTTCATACCTCTCTGTTTACAGCACAGATAACACAGGTGTGTCTGCTGTCACTGTGTGGACACGTCGCTGTGACCTGATCAGTGAAACAGGTGTAACCACTGCTGAAAAAGTGCTTTGTCTCTAATAAGGACTGTGAAATCATTTCCCCTCACAACAGGCAACGCGTCCTGTTGTGAATGCTTTTCCTCCTCATCGGTCAATAGGCTGCGTAATGTTCTCGGACACAGAAGCGTCTCGCTGCTTCAAAGTTCGGTGGTCTTTTTAAACATCCCGCTGCTGTTGTGTAGTCTGCAATACCCATCCTCTGACACAGTCGGCAGACGTCCTCGGGGCAGGCAGCACGGCCGTCACGCAGAGGCAGGCTTACAGCAACGCTTTGCCCAAATCGCTGACATCCCTCACTTGGAGGTGAAAACGCCACTTTGGCAACAGCTCATGTAACCATGGTAATAAGGGTACCATGTAAAATAGCTGCTCCATCAGCAGACAGTTGTTTTAAATGCTTGATGGTCATCGAGTTGCATTTGTAAAATGTTGGAAGACACTGAGATACGCTCCCCCGCATCTACATCCATGTCTGTAGGAACATGGAGAGAGGGCGAAGGAGTTGCTAAACCTGCAAACTACCTGGATGTCTTACTTCCAACTGAGATGTTGTGATCGTTTGGACAAACTGGGCATAAACATGCACGTGAAGCTTGCTGTCATTGAAAGCTTTCCTTTGTGTGACCTCACAGCTCCTACACGCAGCAGGCTCAGGTGTCCACGTGCGTACTTCCTTATGAGGTACTGGGTGGTATCGTTCTCTGTACAGAGACGGTTTGTGGCGTGTAACGTGACCTCACTCCTCCAGTCGCTGTGGTTAAAGGTCTGAGAACAGATGATGGCATGGAAGAGGTCACAGACCATGGACCCGAGTGTGTGGACTGCATCACGGCTATTGCCAGAAACCATCTTTGAACAGAGAGCTCTTAACGTCATATAACCCTGCCTTGTGTCATGTGACTGTACCTGCAGTCTGGTAAAGCCGTTCAGAGCAAACGTGTACGTTTGTGGCGGTTGGCTGGAGGTGGGGGGTCAGTGGTTTGTCCCTCAGACGCTGAAGTCGTTGCTGCGTGGCTGACGTACCTTATAGAGGAGCGCGTGGAGCGCCACGATGCCCACAACATACCACTGAGAGCACAGTGCTCAGCACTGCCATCCACCGACCTGAGCCAGTCTTTATCTCCTCTTCTTTTTCTCCTCCCTCATCAGCTACTCCTAACACTAGTTTAGCCTTCGTCTGAGTCACAGTACTAGGAGTGCCTAAAAATGTGGACAGCACTGGACTGTGCTGGGAAGTCACTACAGTGCACAGTGTGCGTGCATTGTTCTACGTACTGCAGTAATGCTCACTCATGTGGAAGGCTAAGCAGTACAGCCAGGTGTAGTTTCAGCTGTGTAACCTTACCCGTACCTCCATGTTTGAATGCTGAAGATGCTGCTTGCTGCACACGTGAGCCGCCTCAAGGTTAAGGGGTGGACCTGTCTGGGAACGGGAGGCAGATTTCCTCAATTGGTTCAATCAACAGTTAAATTCTCCCACATAGAAACAGGTGAAAGGCTCAAAGTATTCATTGTTGTGAAACATGCTAAATAAAGACGACTGCTTTTTTCCAACAAGCCTGATTTGACTCCACAGGTTTCTTGGTGTCCCGATTTCAGAGCAGGCCCAAACATCACGCCACAGAGATGCAATAAGGCAAAGTGTGTGGGATAAAATCTTTTTTACTTTCGATGAGCAGGACGTGGATCCTGTTAGGTAATGTTTCCTGTGGCGCTCGATGCGACATGCCTCGTTCGCCTGCTCACGTGGATCGGAGACTCGGGGTAAGGATCTTGTCCAAGGATATTTGTACCTCCTGAGCTGCTCTCTGGGTGACGTTGAAGGGTGGACATTCTTAAATTTGGGTGGGTCAATGAAATGGTCATTTTGGTTGGTTCTAATGATGGGTTATACACAGAAATGTGCTTGTTGCATTCTTTTGAAAGCTTATTCGCGCTGTGTGCTGGACTGTGTTTGGAAACAAGAAGCAGGCAGACAGCAGTAACATTCTTGTAATTCTTACAAATAAATGCCAGCTGTAGTTGTTTGTATAGACTGGCATCGATTTAAAAGACTGCATGTGTAAGTATGACTTTATTCCTCACTCCACAAAGTTCAGAGAAGAATCAGGATGACATGAAGAGCCAGAAGATGATGACACAGCCAGCAGAAGAACTGTGGCAAGCTCATCATATTCATTTCCTTTATTATGAGTTCATTTTTTTATAGTAGGAAAAACAAAAGAATACAATTCTCAAGAGAATGAGGAAATCCATCAGCAGACAGCTAAAGATCTCACATGACTAATGTCCATCCATC